ACTTACGACAAAATTACGGCAATAGATAATCGAATAATATCCGTAGCAGATAATCGCGTAACTGAGGCGGTATATGTCGAACGTTTGAGACCGTACTATTTTCCGTTTCAAATTTCTTCGTGGATATTTTGTAAGATGCGAATATTAAAGATAAAAGTATTTTTAAATACGATTTTTGGATTTTCCGCTGTAGGTTATTAAATTGTAGTGACATTGCCATACATTAGTTGCTTGCATTATACGTCATTTGAATGAGCGCAGAAACTGAACAAAACCTGATATTCTGTTAAAAAAGTATTTTTCATTGCTGAAACAATTAAAGAAGAGAAAAAAAAAGAAGCAGATTCAGTAAAACAATTATTATCATACCAAAGAAGGATGAAGAAAATTTATTGGTACTTTTCGTAAAAAATGTTTTTCTCTACACGGAAAAGTTTCCAAAAGCTGAAAACTTGGATTTAGTAACTTTGAGCGGAATAGCGAAGAATCGTATTTAAATAGACTTTCATTGTTCGTTGGTTTTATGGCCTTTTTACATCATTCTCGATTTTACCATGGTCTCTGTCAAAAAGCTTTTAACCCGATGCTTTATAAAATTTACTGCATGAGTCCTGTACATACGACATGTTTTCATGAAACAACGTTCAGTTTGGAAAAGTTTCTGAGGGAGTATCTTTCTTGTTTTCTCATTAATGCCCATTTGCTGTTTCTGATCATCGTCATTGCACAGGTGTTACAGTACTGGACAAAAGTATGGACAAAGCTCGGGAAGGTCTTAAATCGAAGCTGACACATATGGCTAGAGGCTGACAGAGCTCGATTTTTGATATTTTTCTTTTCAAATTAATGGTCAGCGTCAAAAGTCCAAAATCTCATTAACTCTGGTAAAGATGTTTTTCTACTCGCAAATCTATACCAAATATCAAAAATCGAGCTCTGTCAGCCTCTAGCCATATGTGTCAGCTTCGATTTAAGACCTTCCCGAGCTCTCTGCGATGTTTCGTTACTGAGAAATCTGGGAAATACGAAATGGTGTTAAGGTGAAAGCCGCTTTCGAGATATGGTGGCGTCCGTATCTAATGTATGTTTTAGGGCCTCCAGCAAAACTCTCATAACTCTTGATTAGAACATCATTCAGAGCTGGGAGATACCTCATTTTGATCAGAAATGTTTGCTCTATTTCCTGGTATTATTGAAAATATTTTTAGATTTGCTTTATTATCGAACAGTAAAACGTTTTCAAAATCCAATCTTTCAACGTTTTCAGAAAACTTCTCTAAAAGCCTACATATCCCTTCGAACGATTAGCAGAGATCACAGCATGACGATCGAGCCGAAAAAGCTGATCGAAGCTTTGGTTCCGCGGCAGGCTTTGCAAAGAACTGCTAAAAAATCGTATGCATAAACTGAAAAGCTTATGTAATCTTTTCGGCCCGATGTACCTTCCATGATCTCCGCTAATCATTCCCTGAAAATTTCAGTCTTTTTGGACAAGAAATCGGTGAAATATATGGCTTTTAATTTTTGACGGTAACAGGCGGAAAACCGGCTTTTCACTAAACTGGGTTTTTACATGCCAGCTGTCTTCGAAGAGTCTATTCAATGAATTCATGTCTTTCTAAACATATAACCCCACTTCGACACTTCGTGTCGAAGTGGAGATATCGGGCGCCGGGGCGGGGAGGCGGCCTGAGAGTGAGCCACGATCGTTAGCTCACCTCGATGGTGTTATGAGATGCTGTGCCTTTCATAATGCTCCGTAGTCGGCTGGTTTGTGAATGACCCCTGTTCCAGAAGCGAAAAGGTGCGGTTTTCCCAAGTCGGCACTGAAAGTTACTTTACCTTTTGACGGGAAATGAACGTTGTCACACTGACGAGGAGCATCGAGTATCTATGTATTCTGTGTTTTTGAGATTGTCAGACCAGCTGACAGTCCAATACTGGTGATGTGGGAAAAGCCGCGTCGGGTCGAAAACTAACACCTTGCATTTATCTCATTTTGTGGAAGACACGTCGGACTATCTGTCTAAGTAGCAACAAAAAGAAAGTTCTCAACGGATCCTAACCTAACCTAGATGGTGACCTAAACTCCTCAGAATATAATAGAGAATTCGCACACCATTTTGACTTGAACTAGTGAGAGAAATTGAGAAATTTTGAGAATTCTAGTGCAAATCCAAACTTTTCTAAACCGAAGGGTTTGATGCGAGTCGAGACTTTTGAGGATTTCGAGAATTATGCGAATTGTAGTGCAAATTCAAACATTTCTTTTTGGAGTGTCAAAATAACCAGCGATATAGCACAGCTTTTCAAAACGACTTGAATGCTGTGGTAAACGTTCCTCTTACTCTAGAACACATACTTTTTCTAAAACCTGTACCTTCTTTAAATGTAACAGAGATGAATTAGTTATTTAAGATTGTAATAAGTTTTATTAGAGACACACAAAGATTTTAAATTTGAATTTCCCCCACTAGTTCACTTATCATACCTACGGCTACGGCGTAATCAAGACGCGTGCAATTACGTCAGTGCTATGAGATAATGGACACAAATATATTAAAACCTGATACTGTCAGCGGTAAATTTAGTAAACGACGAACAACAAGTTTCACACAAACAATACAAAGTGCATTACATGATGATCATCGATTCAATTACGGTGAATTTGTACAATGTGTCAAATGGGTGATATTAGATAATGTTAAATACAAAATCGGTGATTTCTTCGTTTTCCATTTAGTGAGTGGAGAAGAAATACCGTTGTTTGTGGGGATAAAATATATTGTTAGCATCGGAAAAGAATGGCGATTCATCGTTCAGTGCTACGACACAGTGGTATTTAAACAAAATTCATGGTGTTACCAAGTGAATGCGTCTGATGTCACTATATTAGATAAGAACGATTTTATAACACACAAAGCAGAAGACTGTTATCATATAAATAATTTACGTTTCGTTCGTGTACCTTATCGTTTAACTCTTGTAGGATAAAGATTATTTTTTGATTCTGTTTACTTCGCTAAACTCGTTCTTCACGTTTACTAGTCCTGTGCTCTTGTTTCGGCATGAAAAGCTACAAAAAAGACTTGAAGTTTCTTTTCATTTTCCATCCTAATTCAAAGGTAAACAAGGAGTCATTTATTTCTGGCATTCAGTTCTAGTTTTGTTATTTATTTTAGATGAAGACATTGACGGTCTATCGTTATTACATTTAAGTTCAGAATCAATTGAAGAACTATTATCGATAATTACGGATCCTTATATTATCAAAAAACCAACAATTGGTGCTAAAACAACGTTCGAAAGAAAATTGAACGAACTGAGAAATACTCTTTTTCCAGCAAATAAGTAAGTGTTTGTTTATTTACTGCAATTATTGATTGTATCTGTTTTCCATTTTAGTATGGTTGTGACCTTGAATGAAAAAACAATCAAATTTACTTGTACGACAATTAGATTCGAATGAAGCTGAAAATCTGTTGCTTTTCGGTGACTTCAATGTTGATAGCGGACATCATGACGATGGAGCAGAACTAAAACAAAAATCACCTTCGTCGATTTCACACACATATCATTCACCTCTTCATCAATCTCTATCAAATATTAATTATCTGCGTCTTAGAGATGCATCACCTAGTTAAATGGATCACCATCCATTAGACGGTACGTCGACGAGTCGGACAATATCTCAATCAAAACGAAAATTTCCATTGAGTTATGTACTTCCAAAATTTGATGCAGCATTTAATTTGGCTGCTCAAGATCCATCACCGGCAGAATTTGGAGTGCGATGTAGAAAGAAACAACAATTAGTTAAAACAATTCGGGACGATGTAGTCAGTACTAATGGAATCGATTTCTATCCGACATCGTGTGAATTCGATCGAATGGCGGTCAGTGTCAAAAATCAGTATCCAGCATTATACAAAATATTTGGTGCAGATATGGTGCGTTTGTTAAAGAATCAGATACTTTTTCCACATATAAACAATGTTGTCTGGAATTTTTCGTTTCTTCGTACTGTGACTGTAAATATCATCAAATATCACCACTAATATTACTTTTTTGACTGATTTCGATCACAAAGCACCATATCAATAGAATCACACAGGATGATTGTAATAATGTGCAATATTGTAAATACTTTAATTATTTCATAAATACTTAATAAAAATTACCCTATTATAGTATTTTCTCAACATTTTCCAGACTTTTGGAACAGTCTGTACTTTACCTTTTTTTCTCGTTTAGAGTTTACTGACGTCAGCATTAAAACAACAATTCTCTCGAGATCGTCAGATGTCTGGTTCTCCATCTGAAGTTGTGACGAAAAAACGGCTATCACATGGGCATCCAAGCTCTGGACGAAAACTAAAATTTGTAAAGGTTGAACTAGTAGCTCGGCGAGTAAGGATTCAGAACTCTTATTTTCGTTTTGAAACTTTCTTGAGTCTTTGTAGAAATATCTGATGGAGGAAAAACAGCAATCAGAAGAAAGTTTGATGCAACTATCACAACAAGCAGAGTCGATGCGTGTTTTAATGAATACTACAAATTATGATTCCGGACAAATTAAATCCAAAATGGATATAACATATCCACATCGTCAACGTATTGTGCGTGAGATGAAACCAATCAAAGAAATTGTCGAGTTGTATCCAGCTTTATCAGTGACAAACTTGGTGAGTAACAGAAAATATATTCTTTCCGTTCGATTAGTAACTCTGAATAAAATCTTCCTAAATTCTGTTGATTTGAACAGCGAGAAGGTCTTCGAACAATGTCATTCTTTTATTTATTTGTTTTAATTAACAGTTTATTCGTGAAATTAATTGTCATTGTGCTCCGTACGATGGCGACATTATTCACGCATTGAAATCAAATTGTTCAAGACTGGTTAAACATTTAGAGCAACCAGGAAAAGAAAATACCGACGAAGGTAATAAATTACATCTATCTTCACGTTTCATGTATCCTTTTTTTCTTCATTTTAGAAGAAGAGCCATTTGCCGTATTGGAGCATCTTATTATGAAACGTTACAAACACTCTAAAAGTTATTGTTAAACCAGGTGAGCAACTTCGACGTTTACCAGAATTATTGGATGTTCTGTCGCTTAATTTATCACTATTCATTTAGGAAACCGTCGATGCCTATCCGATGATACAAATACAAACAATAAAGGGTATTAAAAATTATTCGATCATCATTGAATACGACACTTTGATTACAACGAATTCATAATCTGAAGCTCTGGCTGTTTTGATTGGTTCATATGAGATATTCGATATCGAATACCCGGCAAAAGTACGGACCACATTGGAAGTGTTAAATGGTTTATCATTTAAAAAACGATTATTTTCATTATCATTAGCTGCCAGACGGTTTTTTCACGAACATAAACTGAACAATGACGCGCTGTGATAAAATTTATTGTTCTTAAACCTAATCGAATAAAAGTTATATATTTTGAAGAAATCTGTATGTGCATGTACTTTGATCTATCTCTCACACAGAAGTTTAGAACAATAAAAGTACTGTGTTAATTATTTTTCTATTGTTAGTAGATTTTGAATTATGTTTTTGTTTGTTTACTTTTGCTTGATTATGACTTGTTGCCATTTTGTAAATTACATCTCAGTTGCAAGTTAAGGAAAAATAAATAAAGAGAAAATCAATGTCGATTTTCAGTTTTGTAGAAAATGCTCGGATTGTGAAATCTGATGCGATTTCCTAGCAAAGTCCATATGAATTCGTCGGCGATTTTCTGGTTAGAAAATCCAATTCTAATTTCTAATTTCTTGAATATCACATTTTTAACAAAGTAGAAATTAGCGAGCGAATTCATATGGACTTTCCTGAAAAATCGTCCTCTATTTTCTAAAACTTATTTTCTAATTTACAGTGTAGGCCTTTTATTCACCATCTCACTAATAAATAAAGGACGTTCAACTGTCTACTAATACTACTTGTTCTAGTAATGTTACCGGCTCTGTGGAAAACGCTTTTTCATGATAGGACAGAATATTCCATTTAGTTTTCGTTCATTCTCAATCAGCTGGGCGTTACGGCTTAATAGAACCAGATTTATCAAATTTCAAACTTTGGTACTTTTCTCAATGCTTTTATGAGAAAAATTAAAAAAAAGGACGGGGGCGATTATTTGATGGAATCGGCCTCTGCCTGAATTGCATCGATATATACATGGTGAGATGCAGCATGAGCAGGAGAACATTTCTAGCAGAGACGAGATACCTAGACCTTGACCTGTGACCTGCACCGGTCAAGGTCAAAATTTATAGAAGAAACTAGAAAGTTTAACTTTAAGGTGGCTTATTGTTATTCGATCTAATGAACAATTTTGCCTCGGGTCTGGTCCTGACCTATAAAGTTGGACCTGGACCTGCGGACCTGCACTTGAAAAAAATAGACCTGGACTTCGACCTGACCTGAACCTGGACCTATGACCTGAACTTGACACTGACGTATACTGAATGAAAGAGCGTATGACAGAGAAAGAGATCGTAGAGATATACTGTATTTAAAAAGAATTCAATTTTTCGTTGGACTACAGCAGGGAGAAATAAAGAACGCATAAAAGTTCTAAACTTTAGGTCACAGGTACAGGTCCAGGTCAAAGTCCAGGTCCCCTTTCTCAGGTTCAGATCTTGCAGGTCCAAGTCCGCTTTTGCCAGATCAGGTCTGGACATATGACCTGGACCATCCTGTCTCTGGTTCGTTTTAAGCTCAATCGATGGCGAATTGAATTCTCTACAAAACCTGCTGTTTTAATCACTGATAGCATTTTTCTTGTTTGAGTATCATTCAAAATATTGAATGGTGCTAAGTTATTGGACTGCGACACACCAAAAATAGAAAAATATTTGCTTTGATCCAAAAACAGATTCCATAAGAATTTTGAAACATCGGAAGATTCACCGGAAAATTCTGCATCTCTCACATATTTTTCAAAATTTTGCAGTGAAATTGTAAATGAGTGAGATCAATACAGCACAAACTTCTCTATCCTTCTACCTAGAATAGTTAGCTATTGAACCTCAGACAAAGGGATAAAAATCTCAAAAAAGGAGACGAAGAAAGCACGTCCCAGAAAGAAGAATGCTATCGGAGATTAAGATAGCAGGTTTTGTAGAGAATTCAATTCGCCATCGATTGAGCTTAAAACGAACCCTTTGAACTACTGGACAGTGCCTCAAAAACAACGAACAAAGTGTCCCATTTTATCTGGGTCACCCAATATATAGTGCCAGTAAAAGAGTTAAATTGCGTTTGATGGAATAGTTTAAACGTTGCATCGGCACGATTGAATGTATATCGACAATGTGAAACACGTCTGGAGGAAGTTGTGAACTTTTGTTGTTCGGTGAAAATAGCCTAAACAGTTCAAGGAAAAACTGTAAAATCATCAGAAATGACTCTATCTATCTTGTAGATCATATCGTTTCGAAGCATAATTGGAGATCTAGCATATCGTATGAAAGTAGCACGGGTCTGAAGAAAATAAGTTGCGGATCATTAGATCACAGCTACGCTTGAGTTGGTTCAGTTGACAAAAAAATAGATGCAGGCAAATCAGGGAAGTTCACGTGTACTCGTTGTATTTTGAATGTAAGACATTAAGAATTCATCAGATTGATAGAATAAATCTTAAAACATTATATTGTTCTGGTGAAGCTGATGTATTTAAAAATTCATGCCATATTTCAACATGCATAATAAATGATTGATATCAAATATTCAACTAATGGGTACAAGTTAATTTTGCGATAAACCTAGATACAAGTCAGTAATCGGAATTATTTCCATATCCCATTGTTTTCTATTTACACCCATATGACGACTACTACTACTACAGTGAAACGACTTTATGAGGACTTCTCCTTCTCAGCTGTCTTAGGGTCACGAGTTAAGTCGCATATAAATTAATCACTACCGCACGAAGCTAATTAGACTAATTGGTAATATTTCGAAAAGTAGCGTATTGCAGAAACTCGACGTGAAGATTAGAGATGTACTGCTAGGCATTTGTTCGCAAATAGTGATCTCGACATTCTCATATTCTATGGTGAGCTACGTATTAAATAAAAATCGACATTCTGCTTCATTTGCTTACTCGCAAATGTATACAGCTCTTGTCTTGTCAAAACGATGAAAGAGCAGGATAAGCTACAGTATAGCTTTATACATAATGATACCTTTTTCTAGTTTTACAAACAACATCATACAGTATTATAAAACATGTATCAGACCAGTAAACGTTATATCATATTTACTCGTTCTCTGCTCTTTTCTGGAAATGTAACATACATTTTGGAACTCTTATCTGAAGTCCCTACGTTAGCGTTTTATATGTGTTATTTCTGTGTTCATGACAACTTTGTCGGTAAAACTCAGTTCACATTCACGTTGTATTTATTGGTCCAAAATGAGTATATATTTATTATTAGAGAGGAAAAAGGAGAACAACAGCAGCGTCAAATTTTAGCAGAAATAACCGAGACAGATTTACAAACATATAGTATTCTTCCTACATTCGATTTTAGATCTAGAGAAAGAATGAAAGCACTACAGAAACGAGAAAGTTTTAGTATTTGATTAGCATTTAGTGCTTGAAATAACGGTTCGTATGACCGCAAACACTATTTTCTTTTGCTCTTATTATCAGAACAGAAAATGATTTAAACTGTTCTCAATATACCATCAGTTACGTATCACAACTGACCAGACCCAAAATATCACACAAGATCTTAGACTCTGATTGATTGTTTAGTTAAAATAGAAAACTTTTTGTAGCTCAAGTATTCAGCTTATCATCTCAGCATGCAAAATCGACAAGATTATCAACACAAGCAAAAGAGTGGATATTGAACCCCAGTATGTTAGTTTCAATCGTCGAACTACTCTCTTCATATCTACAAATAACATTCACTATGGCTCATTTTATTTGTTTATAGTAATATACTTACCATCATGGTAAGAATCTATTCTCTTTCTACTTTCTCCGGAAATTTTTCAAAAATTAATGTATTTTCTTTAGATTTGTAAAATGTTGACTGAACTTCATAGCACATGTAAATAACAGACTATATCTTGATATCTTGATAATTTAGAAATTATCAAGTATAAAGCTACTACGAATATCATTATAGATTTTATTTAAAAATCACTTTTTTGGTTTATTCGAGCTTTCGATACGATACACTTACCATTTCAAAATAGCGAAAAATTGAGTAACAATCTCACTATATATAGATTAAAGCTTAATTAATAGATCAAAAGAGAACGCTAATAATACGCGAATTACTTTTGTTCGTAGAACATAATGCATGTCACAAGAATTGTCTGAAGGAGTGATTATAATTTATGTAAACATATTTAGTTTAAATTTTATGTCATTCAATGATTTTCCATGTGTCTGCTGTTTAAATGCTCAGATACTAGCTCAGGCGGTCGCCTTACATGGTGCCGGTCTCAACCAGGTTCAAATTTCAAAACAACCAAAGATTTCAAGATGTTGTGTTCAAAATGCGATCAAAAAGTATGAAGAGCTAGGTCGATATGATGATCTGAAACACACCGGACGTCGAAGAAAACTTTCTGATCGTGAAGTTCGGCATTTGAAAAAATTGGTCAAAGGAGATTCCAGCCTCAGCGCTGCGAAAATAGCATCGGACTTGAACAGCGGCTTACCAAAACGGGTTACAATACGAACAGTACGCCGATATTTGAAAGATCTTGGCTTTGAGTACGTAGTGAAAATCAAGAAACAGTGGTTAAGTGTCCGACATCGGCAACAGCGTGTTGCTTGGTGCACACAACATTTGAGCTGGACACATGATGACTGGCGGAAGGTGATTTTTTCAGACGAATCGACGTTTTATGTATTAAAAAGAAAACATCAATGCAAAATATGGCGTCTGGAAAAAAGAAACT